TGCTCCTTTTTTTCTATCAAACATCTTGTCCAGTTGCTCCTTTTTTTTCTATCAAACATCTTGTCCAGTTGCTCCTTTTTTTCTATCAAACATCTTGTCCAGTTGCTCCTTTTTTTCTATCAAACATCTTGTCCAGTTGCTCCTTTTTTTTCTATCAAACATCTTGTCTAGTTGCTCCTTTTTTTAAATCAAACATCTTGCCTAGTTATTTCCCTTATCTTTTCTTTCTTTTTTTCTCTGCTCTATAGTCTAGTACACCTCTAATCTTCGTCACTTATATATTATGACCTATTTGTGTTGCTTGTGCCATAAAACTCTTACTACTAACTGAACTAGAAACACTACTATAAAGTGAACTCTCTAGAATTAGAAACAGACACAGCTGGAATGGTCAGTGATTGAGCGGGTGGTTGGAGGGTGCCACTGGTAGATTCTCCTTCTTTGCTTTCCCTTTGCTCTGTCTGTCTGTGTTGCTTCTTCCCTGCACTACATGATGAATGTTATTATGGCCATGTGCTTCTCTTTGCTCAAACTCAGACTCACTGGTACGTCCTGATCTGCTGATCTTTTCTTTCCTTCTGTTGTTTGTGTCTATCTTTCTCACTTTTTCCATGCTTCATAATATGACTGTTACTGTGTATACTAAACTTCTCTTTGTAACTTTAAACTCAAACCCCAAGTCAGTGATTGGTCGTTTGACTTTCTGCTTTCAGATGAGCCCCCGATCTACCCAGACAAATGCCCAGTGACCCCCCCTCCCCGCATCACTCCGGTCAGCTACGGGGAAAAGATACATGGTGAGTCTAAGTAGAGTATCCCGTTCCTTAGTCTGTCTTTTGTCTGTGTGTTTAGTGTTTGGGGCAGGGTTTTTTTTTTTTAGGTTTTAGTAACTTATAGTGAGAGCTCTATACCTTGGTTATGTCCGATCTTCCCTGGAATACAGCAATAGCCTACTCACTATGTGTAGTGCAACTACTTGCAATACCCTTGACACGGTCCAAAACAATGCCCTTCGTTTTATAAATGGTGGCATGAGATCCACACCTACTGCCGCAGGTGAAATCCTTGCAAATGTTGAACCCCTGGGAATCCACAGAGATTCAAAAGCAGTTTTGGAGCTACATGAAAGAACTAAAATAATGTGCCCCAACCACCCAAACAGGAAATTAGTAGAAACATGGAAACCAAAGAAACGAATTCAACAAAAGTCAATCATGCATCACATCACAGAACTAATGGAGAGACACCATCTACCACAAAACAGAAAAGAAACCAAAAGAGTCTATCGAAACATCCCTCCCCACCTTTCTTTAAAAAAGCCAATCGTTACATCTCTCAGGGACAAGAACACAAAATCTTCTGACCCAGTGACGCTGATGCTTGCATCACATCAAACAATTAGCAGCTATCTATTCGGATGACTGGATACACATCTACGGACGGCTCAGCATTCTAAGGCACAACCAAAGCCAGATATGGAATACTAATACAATACCGAGATGGAAGTTCCAATGAGATCTCTGCAGCCTGTGGAGAGAAATGCAACAACTACGATGCAGAAATGATGGCAATTGAAACAGCACTGTGCCATCTCCGCACAGTTTTTGACACTCATCCTGGAAAAGCACAGAGTATTGTGATTTTCACTGTCTCATTATCAGTCTTACAAGCCATAGAAAATGACCATCTAAATCAAGATTTGACTCATATACTGTTTGGCTCCCATCATCTGATAACAACATTCTGTGGCATCAACCTAGTAATGCAGTGGGTCCCCGGACACTCAGACGTACCTGGAAATGACAGAGCAGACACACTGCCAAACGGGGATCTAGACGGGAACAACCCAACATTCCAACTTCATACAACACTGCAAAACAAATCATTAAAAGCAACAACAAACAAGAATGGATGAACGGATAGGCCCTGGGAAAGACAGGCAGAGCAGTTTTCAAACATATGACCACAACAAAAAGGAATGACAATATCAACCACCCTACAGAGAAAGAAACAGACCACGATCTTTCGCCTTCGAACAGAAGTTAAACAGCTCAACTTTCACTTGAACAGAATAAAACCAGAACTTCCCCCAATGTGTCCCTTGTGTGACTATGCGTATGAGACTGTGGATCATCACCTGTTCCACTGCACAGCCCTAAATGACATCAGAGTTACCCTTCTCCCTCCGAGACCTAACACTGACAACACACTCTACGGAACATTACAGCAATTGCAGCAAACCTGCACTTATCACAACATGGCTTTGGACAGAAGGGCGAGAGCCCAGCTGTTGCTGGATCGATAACAACAACAACAACCAGTAACTTATAGTCGAAGATGACAGTGGAAAAATTATGGTGTCCAGACCACAGTCCTTGCATTCAGCAGGTGGTTGGGGGACGCCACCAGTCGGTCCTGCTTCTTGTCCGTTGTTTCTGTTTATCTGTCCTACATGTCCCCCCACCAGGGCAGTGCTACTTTCTGAAGTTGTCTTTTTTTTTTTTTTTAGGCCTTTTCTATAGATCGGATATTAAAACTGGTTCTTATGCGCAGTAAAATTGTAAATGGGCTGATTTATCAATGTCCTGCTCATACTGTGCCGGAACAACATAGGGGGAACTGCTGCTTTTTCTTTCCTCATCTATACTATCGTATTTTTCCTCTACTTTTTTGTTTGTCACTCTTGTGAACTGCTGTTTCTGGGGTGCCATGAGAGTCAAAGCAGACTTTGTTGTGCTGTTGAAAAAGAGTAAGCCTGATTCCCATTTGGACTTCTCTGATGACGTCCACTTCTTGGCGCTCAAATGACCTTATATGCAGTTGCGAGCGCTGTAAAACCTTACTAAGACTAAACTGTCTTGCTTCTTCCCTACACTATATATGACTAATTTTGTGTCGGAGTGCTCCCCTTGCTCAAACTCAAAACTGTCCCTGCATTTAAATTCCCATTATATCACACAATGATGGCATAAAGATTAAACTTGTCTAAAACAACAACTGTTAATATTTTAGCAGTAGCGCACAAATACTCCTATGAATTCTACGCTCTCAAAAAGAACATCACCCTCACACACACAC